AACACACACACACACACACACACACACACACACACACACACACACACACACACACACACACACACACACACACACACACACACATACATACACACACACACACAAAGGTTTTTCTGAAAACTATGACAATGAATGGTTTTGTGATGGATGGATTTTATTTCATTTCTGAACAAACCCCATTTTCTCTTTCATTATCCATTCATTGTTATGAATTAACCTTTTTTTTTTTTTTTCTCTCTTTCAAATTTTTTTTTGTGATAATTATTATCATACATTTTATTGATTATTTCGTATAATTTTGTTTAATTTCAAATAGTTTAATTACAGAAAATAAACAAATTTGTTGTAATTTAATTAATTAACTTTCATTTGTTCATAGTAAATGAATCTGATTATGTTCGAGAAAATTCCTAATCATTTCCTAGTATTCAATAACATTAGCATTGGATGAGACACTTGAACTATACTTTGTATTAGCATTACTAAACAGATTAAGTATTAACAGAATTTGTCATATTTTAACTGTATGTTTACATTCTTAATGTCTTTGAAAAATTTTTTGCTCCTACATTAAGAGGAACATCTTATTGTTTGAGATTGATTATTTGCTAATAAATAAATAAAATTTGCATTTAATAAAAAATTTTTTGCTCCTACATTAAGAGAAATATCTTATTGTTTATGATTGATTATTTGGTAATAAAGAAATAAAATTTGCATTTAATAAAAAAGAAAAAATTAGACAAAGGTTTTTTTTTCTTTTTTATTTTTGGAGCACATTTAATTGGAGAATAATTTAAAATGATTCAAAATTCGTAAATTCAACTCATATAAAAATTCAAATTAATTTCATACGACAATTAACATTCCTTTAATCTTGCTTTTTTTTCGTGACATTTTTTATCATTAAATATATATTGTGTATTTATCTTTTCCAGATAAAATTCAAACAATTTTTTTCTTTTCTTCGCAAGAAAAAAAAAAAGGAAAGAGAATTTTAATTTTTGCCCAAAATCAAAGACTAAATTTTTGTGAATGCTTTAATGACATTAATTTTGACACCAATAATATCCGGTTCAATCATACGAAATTTCATTGAAGATTTTTGAAAAAGATAAAAGTTATGTTTTAAATTAAATTTTTCGTAATTTGTCACAAGTCTATCGTAGTTTTCCGAAATTGTTCCACAATGAAATGTTCACTTTCATGTGCTACTTTTATTTTTACAAACATATAATATTTTAAAAATTAAAATAATTTTCATGGTTAACTTAGAAATCGAATCATAACATAAGTATTTGATTAGAATACAAGTAATTGGTACCATATATAGTTAGTATAGTTAGTACCAGTTAGTTATATGGTATATTTTTACAAACATATAATATTTTAAAAATTAAAATAATTTTCATGATTAACTTAGGAATCGAATCGTAACATAAGTATTTGATTAGAATACAAGTAATTGGTACCATATATAATTAGTACCAGTTAGTTGTATGGTAATAATAATAATAATATAAGCAATATTTTTAATGGATAAAAATGAATTAAAATGTTATACTTATTATTTATTACTAAAAACAAAAAAACTTTGTTATTATAGTAATATGTAAGAGTTTATTGTTAGAATAATACGTGTAGTATTGAATTTTAAAATTGAATTTCCATAATTTCCCAAAAATGTTTTTTTTTTTCTTATCGATCATGCATTTAACATACAATCTTTTGTTTATTCAAAATTGATGGATTTAAACATTTTAAGAAATAAACAATTTCATGTATGTTTTTCTTAGTTCTGCAAATTCTCTGTTATTTGCATTTAATGAATTAAAATAATTTTAAAAATGACCACTAGTATCGCCTAAGTATTGCAAATTTTCTTTGATAATTTTACAGAGTCGATTTAACTGACCAATTAAAATGTCCTCAATTTCAATTTCCTTTCAAAGCCTGTATTTCTTAAAATGACATAAAAATAAAATTTGAATTAAATTTTCAACCATTTTAACTTATTTCTTAGACATAGCAATACGAATGGCTATTTTTTTATCTTTTCAAATATACAAAAATTAAAAAGAAAAAAAAAATGTTAAGTGCGATGTTTTGATATAAAAAAATTTAAAACTTTATTAATTTAATTATTTAAATACAGGATGAAGAAGCAGTTCTATCTATTGCTTCTATCTATTTTATCACATCAAACATTGGCATCATTTTGTGGTTCAACTGGTGTACCATTTAGCATCGAAGTTCTTCCTTCAGGTTTGATGGAAAAATATATATATGGTCAAAATTTAACAACAGTCATACACCTACTGATAATTGATAAATTTCTAAAATTACTTAGGTGCACCGATACTTGGCTGCGCTCAGCCAACTTGTGTTGCAAATTCAAATGACAAAAAAGATGACAGCAATTTTCTGGTAAATGCTAATGGACAAGCGGATGGATTTATGCGTGAAGATGACAAAGACAGTAAAGTGTATGGTGATCCTTATGGCAGTAAACTTATCGCTGTATGTTTTATGATATAAAATAACAGTAATATTTGGGATTTTATTAAATCTCAAAAAAAACAAAATTTAAGACTTGTGATTATTTTTTTTTGAAATTTGAAAATTAAATTTGAATTAAATTTAAAATTTGAAATACTTTATACAATGTTTGTAGTAAAGCATGCATTTTAATTAAAATCATCATATATTCACATTTTTAATTGTTCAAATATGATTGTGGAAAAAATTCGAAAATATTTCCATCTATCATATTTTAGCAATTCATATCAAAATTTGCGATAAATTTATTCCAGATTTTGATGTTTGAATAGAATTCGTTATTTTCACTCTTTTCTAATTATCGCAAGTGAATTATTTAAATAATTATTTGAAAAAATTTTTTCAAAATTCACTCCAAAAATACAATGAGATGACAACAAAATTTGGAAATTTTTCAACACAAACGAATAATTATTTAAGTATATGTAAAAAAAAAAGAAAAAAAGAAGAAATGGATGAAAATATAAATTTTCAGGAATTTTTAGAATTTACTTTTATTTTAAAATTTAAATAATATTTCTCGATAAAATATATTGCAGAATTGTTCCGGTCAATTTTCTGATTTATCATGTTTACGTAAAGATCAATGGGTTGGAGGCATCGAATACATTGATCATCCACGACAACCGTAAGAATTTAATAGGAAAACAAAAAAAAAGAAATTTTATTAATTTTTATTATATTATTGAGAAGAAACTGGAAAACCATTTCCTGATAGTCAAATAAATGTATCGTATTGATTCGTCGAATATTTATTGAATTATTTAATGTTTAATTATTTAATAATTAATGGCACATATATTAAATTATTTTAATTATTTAATGATTAATCGTGATGTTTGAAATTTTACGACATAATTCACTGTTTATTAAATTGAAATTAAACTCATCCAAATTTTTATCTTATCTTTTAGGCTAATCTTACAATGCTGTACATTCGCCGGATTACGATTTTCACAAGATGTTGGAACAACAAATGTTGGCCCAGGTGAAGCGATTACTGGTGGTGAAGTAATTAGAGATGGGCGACAAATAAGTTTTGATGTGATAGCAAATGTTCGAAAAGTGGTAGATGCTAATACACATATGTTAGTTATCATTTTTAATCAATCATATGATAAATAAGAATTTCAAAAATGGCATATACGTTTTTTGAACGTTAAACTGAATTTCAACAATGATTTAAAAAATGTGGTTTAAAAAAAAAAATTTTAAAATGATTTGTATGAATTTTTCTTTTTCCATTAATAATAAATGCTTTTGAATTTTATTATTAAAAGAATATGAAAAGCAAAAGAAGTATGCTATCATCGTTAAATTCAATGTATATCACAAGAATCATTTTATAATTTTTTATTAAAAAAGAAATTTTATTTTCAAGCAATATCTAGATCAATTTGACTATTTCACATTCTATATCAATCTTAGGATATTAAGATTTGAGTAAATTTAAAGATTGAAAATTCAAATTCAAAGAAAAAAAATTTAAATGTTGCAAGATTGAAATATTAAAGCAAAAATTTGAGCGAATTTGATAAGATTGATTAATTTTGCGAAAGTTTAATTTGATTCCAAAAAAAAAAAAGAAAACTTTCTCATAATTTATCCATCGTATTACATTTGATTTGTCTTATTGTTGAAAAATTAAAGCATTTAATCAATGTAAACAGTTATTGATCGATTATTATTTTTGTTAAAAAATAATAATTATGGGAAATTGTGAAACTTTTTTTTGTAATATGCGTAAAAGGTTTATAATATTGCTATGTAATAATAAATTATATGGAAATTGATTAATTTGTAGTGGTACTAAATATATTTTATATTTAATTAGAAATGGCAAATTTTTTGCAGTGTATCATACGAAGTTACGGTACGACGAATGCATTGTTTACCGGATCCACCGGAACCAGTTGTTGATCGTTAGTGGAATTTTCACCAATTTCATATTATTTCCAGAACATCCTTTTATTTCATTATCCCAACGGATCAATCTTTTGTTAGTACGAAAAATCAGAATTTTGAGATCTGTACAGATAGACAGACACACACACACACGCACCACAAGACAAACAGACACACACATACACACACACATGCATGTACATACATACATTCCATCCTTTTACGATGAATATCTTTCCTGTAATGGATGAGGAATAACTTTATCGGAAAATTTCAACTTGACATATAAAAATGAAGCGTATAACAGAGAAAAATGTTGAAGGAAGTCAAACTTTTCCTCTTTCATTTCAATCTAACAATGATTGATAGTAATGACATTTTGGTGACAATTTAATCCATTATAATATTAGTTCTTTGTGACACCTTGTCATTCCCTTTCATATCTTAGCTAAGAGCTCTTGTTAAATTCCTGTTCTAAAATTTAACCTGTTTTGAAATTTTCATCTTATGGTGAAATTTTAATCCTATTCAAACTTTTATTGCTGTAAAAAAAAAAGAAAAAAAAAGTAATGAACATAAAAAGTTGAGAAATGTGGAAATTGTAAACAAAATTCTTCTTTTTTTCTTCTTTTGCAACTGAATTTTTGCTTCAAAATTTTTTTTTTTCCAAATAATCATTTTGACATTTAGTGGAAAAGGATGTCAGTGATGAAATTGTGAAAGTACTAACAAAAGGAACTGATCTTTCAACCTTTCGAAAGGAGAAAGCATCTAGAAAGGAGAAATTGGAGGATTTACAAAGCAAAAAAGCATTCACTGATATTACCGCCTATAAAATTGACGAAAAAAAGCAATACAAGTAAATCAGCTTTTCTTCTATTTTTATTTCAGCAGAAAATCTAAGTTTGTTATCATTCGGATTCATAGTACATCAATAATTATACTTAAATTAAGTGGAGCAGGAAAGGAAGTTAAGGAAAATTAACTTAATTAATCATATTGTAAATGAATTAATTAAAGTACTACAGTTGAATTGTTGAAATGGTAGTAGGAAGAAGAAGAAAAAAACAAACTGATTGTTTATCATTCAGGAAAGGTGAATTCGAAGAGAAGGAAAGCCTTAAAACAATTTTAACGAATAGAAACGAAGCAATCCGTAGGCGAGAGGAAGTGGATGTTAAAGCAGAAATAACACTGAAACCAAATATTGCTCAATCATTAACTATTCCATTTAATAATCGTAAATCGGAAACTGGTTCGAGTGGTACTGGTAATAATTTCCCAGATGAAAATAACCTCGCTATTGCTAATTTCCCAGTGGTTCAGGGCGAATCAAAAGCATTTGGTCAACCGCAAGTAAATTTATTCGGTCAGCAACATCCGCAACTACCATTACAACAACCCGAATTTGGCTTTGGTCCCTTTCAACAACAAGCATCAAACCAAATTATTCAACCAGGACAAAATCATAATCGTGAACCATGCACAGCACAATGTCAACAAACATCATGCTTCATGCAGCGATGCAATCAAGGCCTAAATCCAGTTTTAGGAATTCCTACACTCTTTCCTCTAAATCTTCCAACCTTACCAACCTTTCCAACTTTAGCACCACCAACCTTCCGACCATTTATAACCCAGAGCTATCCTACAATAGCTTCACAATCTTCTCAGTCAGCATTTCAACCTGTTCCCGGATCATTTCAGCCTGTTCCGGGTTATGTTGATCCATCTAATTCCGGTCATACTGTTTCATTAAATTCACTACCATATTTTGCTGCTGATAATGCCAAAAGAAATGTTAACTCGAATAACAGATTAATGCAACTATCAAATGCTCCTATAATTCATACTCCTCCTACACCTATTTCGAACTCAATTCCAACACAACCATCAGCAATAGCTTCCGGTAGACCAGTCCTTTTATCCGGTTAATATCATCCATTTTTATATATTTCTCTTTTTTATATATCCTTTATTTCGAAATGGAAAAAAAAAAAATGTTGATATCATATACATTGCTAAATCCAAAAGAAATTAAACAACGAATGAATTTTAATGAAATTATATATAATTAGAGAAATGAAAATTATTGCAGGTAATCAAGCTCCTAGGAGCCAAGTTACATTAAAGCCATTATCAACATTTGAAGAATTGATGGCTGGACTTGGCTATCATAATGTAAGCCTTGTTACATTAACACCATCAGGAGCATTACTATTTCCTCCTGATTTCACATTAGCTACTCCATTTCCTCCTCTTTCACCTTTATTGCATCCGACAACAACTACTACTCAAAATCAAATTCCAATGTTTAATCCAGGAATTGGTATACAACCATTTCAATCAGATCAGTATCGTCGTTCTTCCGGTATATTTATCAGCACTAGCAAAATTACACTTAATTTTTTTGTACAAATTCTATAGCTAGCAATTACTGTGACCTAATTAATTACTTCATAATCGTGCATTAGCTAATAACTACTATGGTCTATTCAGTGCAAAAAATTGCAGCGATACAGTAGTAAAAATATCAGATAACCTCATCTCATCCGGTACAATACGGTACAACATGGTTATTACGTATTAATATCTTGTCATACTGTATGGAGATGATAAATAAGAAAGTATTTTTTTTTTAATATATATATATTAAAGTATATTAATATAAAATATATTTAAGTATAAGAAAATGTTTTCAGTATTGTATGTACCGCAACAAGATTTGGATGATGGAATACTACAACGAACAGGTCTCCGACAATTCTAATCATCGTCTAATAATTTCAGCTAACCAAATGATATTCATTAAGTTAGCCATATCTCATTATATGTATTTCATTGTTTGTTTGTTTTTTTTTATTTTTACTTATTTTTTTTTCTGAAAGGATTAACAAGTATTTTATTTGTTGTATCATATGCGGAATAAGAAAGTGATGAAAAGGTTTCCGACATGAAAAAGTCTTCGGTCTCCAATTAATACGGTATTGGATGTGGTACGCTTAAAAGATTAAAAGGATGAAAAAGATTATTGGATGTAATCATATGTAATCTATTCGTTATATATTGTATTTCTATAATATCTGCTGAAAATTTACTAACGCCATGATATGGAATGATAATCAAATGATTCAAAATTATGGTATCAAAAAAAAAAAAAAAAAAAAAAAGAAAAAAGTTAAATTAAATATGAAAAGTATTTTGTTGTTAGCATTTAATAATAACAACTTATGCAAAATATATAATTTGATAGTAAACTAATGTTTGTATTTTCTGTTCGGTTTACAATAGATTGATCATTTCGAATCAAATATGCTTACAATTCTTGAATTCATTTTTGATTGTATTATCCGATCAAGCAATGATTAATCATTCATTTTAAAAGATTTGCATATTGATAACCAAACTGTGAAAAAATACAAAATTAATCTAACCTTACACAGAGTATAACTTAATGAAGTTAACACAGCTAATTACATTAATTCGCATATAAACAAATGGTGTGGGAAAAATAAAATGTAAATATTAAAATTAATTGATGTAAATATAATTTGCCAAAATGAAAGTATTAGAAAGCGGTTGACCTGAAAGCAACAATGAAAGCAAATGGAGCAGAAATATCATTAGGATATGATGGGATTAAACAAGATGAAAATGTTTTGGAAATGTTGGATGGAAATGAATTGAGAACGAATTTTTTCGGTATAACATTTTTTTTTTTTTTTGATTGTTTACGGTTGAAACAATTCTTACTGTTTTTTTTTTTTTTTTTGTTTGATGAGCAAATTTGAAAATATTCATTTCTTAATGGGAAAATTAATTTCGTTCTTTTTTTTCTCCCAAGTTGATGCATTATCGATTAATGAATAGGATGAAAATCATGAATTTTTATAGTTATTACCATAAAGGGATTGATGTTTGAATTATGAAATATAATTCTAGTTCAGCAATGAAGCGGTGAATTTTCGATTTCGAAATTTTTGAAATTTAAATTTTCAGCTCGAATAGAAAAATGCTTTAATTTGAAGGAACAATACTTTTGCTGTTGCAGTATCAATGTTTGTCTTGCAAAAACTGTCAGAATATAGTGATTTTTTTTTTGGTTTAAATTATTCACTTATATAAAATAGGTCTCCTTTGATTGAATAAAAAAAAAAACATTAATTTGTTGATATTGTAAGAATGAAACGTACAAAGTTTGTCGTTAACCAAAAATAAATTAGCTAATTGAAAAAGTAAAATAGCAATTTATAGATTTGGATGCTAACCATAGCTGCTATTACAATAGTTACTGCAATAAAAACGCAAATTGCCCTGCTAATTATCGATGGTTTTACCGGTAGCCCAATTAGTTTCATCCTTATCTTCCCGGTATGGATTTCTGGAATTCTTGCTATATTTGCATACATACACAAGATGCCATTACTCATCTGGCCATTCATTGCTTTCTTGGTTAGTTATAATGTTATGTTAACCGGTTAGTTTGCATCAGCAATGAAAGTTTCCAACTTTTAATTTCCAACAAAATTCATCTTTGTCATATTACGACATTATGCAACGTAAGATCTTATACAGCATTGAATTCCGGTCACATCACAATCATTGTTTGACTATATACTGAAAAATTCCTTATAAGAATTTCCTATAATCGTTCCCGAATTCCTTTTCCTACAATAAGCATAAATTGTTGAAGCGGAACCATTTTGAAGTGATATGATTTGAAATTTTATTTTAGATATTATTACTAATTATCAAAAGTAACACAAAGACTATCTTTCTAAAAAATGCGAACAATGATTCCTTATAATTTATGAGTTATGCATCAAAGTTGAGTCAAATTTCAGATTTTTATTAGCTTGTCGGTAATTGCTTTCCTAATTTACTTTACCATGATTGCTCTTCCTGCAAAAATTAACGGTGATATATTTAATTTACTTATAAAAGTTATCTTTTAATTTAATCTGAGGCATATGTTTCTTATATTGCTAGATGGATAAGACAAAAAAAAAAAGGAAAAAGATATCAAAATTGTAATTACAATTATTTCAAAATAACTTTAAAATTTTTCACTTTTTATTCTAATGGAATAAAGTTTGATTTATATTACAGCGTCCGCATATTTTATCATATTTTTTACAATAATTGGAATTCAAATAATAATTTTGCTTGAATTATATACTGCATTTCGTTGGTATATTTGTGCCAAAGCATTGAAAAGAATTAAAAATTCCGATAAAGGAAAAGGTCAAAAATGAGAAAGCTAAAATGAAGAATGAAATGCAATGAAGTATCCAATTCGTTCCAATATCGTTGTATTGTTGATCAATTTTCCTTTTCAAAGTAAATATCGATATTGTATTATTTGATTTATGCTAATTCAATAGAAGTAAGTAATTCCAACAGTCCTAATATCCTTCCAAAAATCCGCCTATCATTATTTACAAGGTGAACAAAGCAATTTGACGTGTTTCTTGCGATGAAGTTTGACAAAGATTGATGAATGTAATTTGTCATTTTCAACTATCATGAAAAATTTCATGAAAAATACATAGAATATAATAATGGTATGAAAGCTTTTTTCGCCACATTATTTCACTTTGCTTAATTTGAAAGCATAAATTTAAATAGCACAGTTGTCATTTTTAAAAATTGCTGTCACTTTTGCAACATTTGAAGGCTGATTAGTTTTACATCAGTTTAAGGAATTGGAAAAAGAATTGAATAAACAAATGTAAATAATTTTATATTTCAAAACATAATAGGAACCTTATAGCTTGCGAATCGTTAGAAATTTGGGAATTAATAGAAATTAGCTGAACTATGCCGTCCAATCAATCAACACAACGAATTTTTTGATAATAGATCTGCAATAAATTCTATTCATCAATTATTTCATTCAATTTACCTGCTGATTAAGAAGTAGCTAATTTTTTTGCATTTATTCAATGAAATAAAAGACTGATAAGTTGTAAACTTACTCTCCATGTATAGTATTTGGTGCAGTAAAAATTATTATTTTTGTCGAACTAAAGATCACCTCCATTAGTGGCACCATTGCTATCACTACTATTACTAGTATTGTTGCTACAACTACTATATCAAATTAGAGTATTCTGATGGTAGCAAATAAAATGCAATAAAATGCAAGATATTAAAAATGCGATACAATGCTGTCGTAAGCCGGATGATGATCGTTATTGAAACCGCTTCAGTTTAAAATATTAAACTCCTTGAAAATTGTAATTTTCAGTTTGAAATCTTAGGAATTATTCAACGAGCAAAAGGTTGAAAATCTTAAACTGCTAATTATAATCATAAAGTTTCTCATAATAATTATTTTTGCATTAATATGTTAAACGCATCGTTTTTTCGTCGCAAGAAATATCAACCTGAAAGCTGATTCTTGTTGCATTTTCTAAATCCACATCCTTCTCCTTCAATAGTATCTTTAAATTCAGCATGAAAACTGCTTGCAATACAGATGGTGTAATCTATTGCAATACAGATGGTGTAATCTAGAATATCTTAAACAAAGTTTACAAAAGAAAAGTAAAAAATGTTTTAAAATATGAAGTATAACTATTGTGACAAGGGATGAGAAAATTCTTTTCATCCAAGTTAGTACCAAAAAATTAGCTTATCTTATAGCAAGAAATTTCTAAGAAAAAACAAACAAATCGAATCCTCTTACTAATAAAATGTGTGGTAATAGAGATAATAAGTACATACCACCAGATCTTTGCGTTAATTTGAACCAAGCTCATTCATTAGTAAGTATAATTCCACTGAACGATTACACACAGCCCGTGAAACACTGCCGTAATCATTCATA